GAGTCAGGGGTGAACAGGACATTTCTGTTGGTATAATGTAAATCAGTACAGTTTCTCTGAACAATACCCATCCAAAACCCTAAAAATATCTGCCTTCTCAACTCAGGCATATTGAGAATCTGTGCTAAAGAAATAATCATAAAGGTAGATTAAAAACTTGGCTCACAAAGATGACTGCTGCAAAGCTATATATAATGGTAAAAAACTGGAAACAACTGAAGTGTCCAGGAATAAGGGAACACATGAATTGTTTCTTAGTTACCTTTGTACACTTAGCATAGAGTGCCTGGGTCCCCTTGACATAATAATGATAACTGCTAACATTACAGAGGGTTTACTATGTGTTCATCATGTGCTAGGCACAGTTCTAAGCATTTTTTTTATTTAAGATTTTATTTATTTGACAGAGCAGCGAGAGACGCAGCGAGAGAGGAACACAAGCAGGGGGAGAGGGAGAGGGAGAAGCAGGCTTCCCGCAGAGCAGGGAGCCTGAAGCGGGGCTCGATGCAGGGCTTGATCCCAGGACCCTGGGATCATGACCTGAGCTGAAGGCAGACGCTTAACGACTGAGCCACCCAGGCGCCCCGTTCTAAGCATTTTAATCTTTACACTGACCCAGTGAAGTAGGTACTGTTACTCTCATTTATAGAGATGAGGAAACGAATTCCAGAGCTTGTATGCTTAGCCACTGTATTGGGTATTCAATAAACGTTTCTGGAATAAATTGAACACTACGTTTATGGATATGTTAGATGAAAGCACACAAAGTCATCTGTATTTAGTTATGCCTTGTTCCAAACTGTCTATATAACTTGATCTCAATTACAGGAGAGCAACTCAAAAATTCATAGGAAAAAATGTTAACCATGGTCGATGTTATATCCTGCTACTTTAGACTTCTCATATTTTCCAAAATTTCTACAGTGAAACGTGGACTACTTCAGATTAATAAAATGAAGTGCTTTATAAGAAACATATGTATGTACCCAGTCGCACCTCTGCCATTGCTATCCTTATTTTAGGTAAAAGGGTCTTGATTAGATACTGAGCCTGTTGCCCAACTTTAGAGTAGGGGCTGATGCAGTCAACATTACATCCTCAAAAACATCACCCAGGAGCCTAACTTTGCTTATCTCAATGTTTTTGAGCAAGGTTCTCATGCAGTTAGAGAGAAAACCCAATAAATAGTCTGGTTCCACTTGATCCAGAGCTGGGAAAACAGCACCAGGTTCACAGTGGGAAGCTCTCACTCTGCCCACTCCAAATGTGGACAGGATGCTCTGAGAAAAGTGAAATGTGAACTTGGAGGACCAAGACAGTAGTAAGAAACTGGGAACAAGTACCTAGGAGAAAAGCAATGGGGGGACTGATACATAGTTTAGGTGGAAGGTGAGTATTAGGAACTCAAAGATGACACCTAAAAACTTGAAAGTCTGTAATGTATTTCAACTCTTTAGGAACAGAAGTAAAGGCCTGAAGGGAGAGAATGAGCAACGGGATTGTAAAGGCACCTTAATTACAGAAACAAGGAAGCAAGATACCGAGTCGAAAGGCTTCTCTTAGGGGAGTTTCCCAGAGGTAGCGAAGGCAACAGAAAACTTTTGTACAGTCTTAAAATTCAGGGGCCAGTATTCTGCGTCACCCTGACCCCCTTTACACACATAACTATAAACACCGGTTTCTAGAGGGACCAATCACATACTGGGGGCGTTAGAATCAGTTCGGTGGATGTAAATAGAGTAGGTCGGAGAGGACTTAGAAGAGGGAGGGAGTCCACAGGCCCAGTGAGACCCACTTCTAGATGCAACCCAGGTAAGGAGGGAGGAGGTATGTTCAGGGAGAAATCCAGAGCCTGGAGAGAAGGTTCATTATTGGGGCTGGAGTCAGGAGTGTCAGGGTGGTAGGGGGCGGGCACTGGGGGTGATCCTAAGGAATCGGGAGTGGTGGAATCTGCGCTGGGGTCCCGAGGATAGGCTGGATCACCGGGGCGCTGTCATCCGTGACCACGGCACGTCCCCGGCCCGGGCTCTCGTACCCTCCAAGGTGACGGTGTCCAGCTCTCGCTGGGAGTGCTCAGCCGCCGCCGCCGCCGCCGCTTTGCTGTCAGGCTCCCCCGATGACCCGCCACCCGCCGTCGCCTCCTCTTTCATCTCCACATCCTGGGGGGTCGGGGGCGGCGGTGGTTCTTGTTCCCCTCCGCCCGGCGGCGGCTTCGCCTTGTCCGCGCCGCGGCGCCGCGCCGAGCCCTCCTGTTTCATGGCGCCCGGGGTCGCGGCCTACTCCGGGGACCGAGACCAGGGCCTCGCGTGAATCCTCGCACCAGAGACCAGGAACCGAGCCGGGCCTGCACACGAGCGCGGGCTCGCGACGGGCCGCACGATGACGGAGCAGCTGCAAACCCCTTCCCGACGCTGGGCCTTCTGGGAAACGCCAGGCCCGGCGGGCCGAAGGCCGAGTCCACAAAAGGAAAAGAAATCAACAGCCGAGGTGCAGGATGGAGGCGGATCTTCAAGGAGCTGGGAGGAGCTTGTATGCGTCGGCCCGGCATTTGGAGTGCTTCAGTGTTATTTTCTTGTGTTCCTCTGGACTGCTTTTCCGTGCGCGTCCACGAGATGTCCCCTCAGGCTCCAATGTGGGTTACATCGGAGTCTTAAGAGCACCCCAACCAGCGTGGAGTAAGGCCTGTCGCAGCGCAGGGCGTGATGACGTCATGAGGCCCCACCTCGCTCAGTCTGCGCCCCCCCGTCCTCCGCCTCCTGTTTGGGGGTCTCGGTCCAGATTCTCGAGGCTCGTACTCAACCGCCGCCCAGTGCATCCGGCGCGAGGGAAGAAGCCGCGAAAGAGGGATGTGAGCACCGAACTGGGGAGTAGGAGAAATCATTGGGATTCAGACTTCTTGTCAGATTTTAGCAAGAGCTGAAAATAAGGCATAAAATCCTGCAGCCTGGGAGTGTGGACGGGGGAGAGTGCGTTTGTGTACCAGCACTGCAGTATAAAATACACGGGTCCACTCTCTGTATGGCCCAGAGCTCGCACGTTCGGGGCGCGGAGTTCTTAAAAACAGCTCCAGAATGTGGTCTGCTGGAGGCTCTGCTCTGCCGCGTAAGGTCAGGCGGGAGGAAAGCAGGTGGAAGCCCCTATTGGCAGAGGCTTCAGGGAGTCGGTCGGGGCGTCTGTTTGCATCCAGACACCGTAGTGAAATGGGGAGCGGAATAATAGTGTACCTAAAGAGAATCTAAGAATCCCCAGGGGAAGGAAATTGAACCAGAAATCCTGTCCATTTATTTTTCAAAGGAATCCTCCAGTGATTCTGCAGGAGGAAGATACAGGTTCCAACTTCTTAAGACACAAAACAAAAACTACCCACTCCCTTCTTTGAATTTTCCTCTCTTCCGTAGTTGGAAGTCCTAAATTTTAAACCAGGTCAGACCCTACAAGACAGTCTAGCTCTGCTGTAAGGTCATAGAGGGCAGAGGATATGTTTCGACCATATTCTTTATATTCATATATAGAGAGGATATTTTTTGTCTCCTCCTTGTCATACTACTGCAGCAAATAGCTCCTTGCACTGAACAACTGCTTGCTGAAGGAAAAACATTTTGTCCGGTTTTAGGGAACGTGCCTTGACCAATTCCTCCCTGTCTCTCTGCCCCCTTGGGCTACGGGACAGATAACAGGACTTTTGAATCATCGCTGGAATAAACTCATTGAAGCCTCTTCTGCATAACACCCTATCTAACTGAAAGTGGGCGAGAAGGGTAAAGGAAGAAAACAGAAAACAGATGAGCTTTGTTGTTCATCCTTACGAAGTTACCCTTCTGGATAGTTAGGGTGTTAGCTCACCTCTTTATTAAGTGTACATCACAAGAGAAAAACAACGAGGTCAGCAGATAATTACTCAGGATGTCTTTGAGCAATGTAGTGAGGCATTGGAAGATGCCCCAGAACGGGGGAGGATGGCTTAACAGAAAGCTTTTGGCAGTTGATCATGAATTCCTGTTTAGTGAGGGAACTAGCCAGGGGCGAGTCTGATTCCTGGGGCCAAAAACCTTGGAGAAATTATTCCACCCATAAAACTACTTTAAAAGAAATTGGCGAAAGATGTTAAAACCCAGCTTTAGGCAGAGGAGGATGGTATAAACCCACTAGTTTTATAAGATTGCAATATCCATATTTGCAGGTCCATATGGCAAGCCCACATTACTTCCTCCTACAACCACCCCGAATTGAGGTCAAAAGAGGGAAAGGTGAAATAAGATAATATCACAATTTCTTTTTAAAAGTTATGGGTCAGTCTTATTCTTGGATACTATTTTTTAAAAAGACTTACCTGCATTTTCTTTTTGATATACTTGAAAGTTGTCTTACTCTTGTTTTGGGTTTGTACCACAAATAAGCCTGTCCTAGTCCCTTAACCTGAGTCCAGAGGATCCTAAACCCTCCTCTTTGAAGACAAGCTTCTTTGATGATCTTCTCACTTTAGAATTTAGATTCTACATTCTACACCCTCATAGTTCTCTGGGCATTTTCCAGCTGACCCGTGGACAGTATAATAGAACTCATGTACACATGATCTGTATGTAGTATGATAATGTCTATTTTTTTTCCTGGCAGAAGTTAAGAAAAACACCAGAAGACATTTCATCCAAAGTGGAATCATATTTTCCATTAATTCCAGTAAAACTTGATTTGTGGAAGCATACGCATGAGGAATTGGGATAGGAAATTAATTATTTTTGGTTTTGCTGAAATAATTCATAGTTTTAAAAATTTGCACTTTTCCACTTTTAAAGGATTTAAGCATCAGCAGATGGGTTGCGGAGCTGAAGGGGTAGGGGAAGAGGTAGAGCTGGACAAGTGGAAATCGCTTATCTTGGGTGATCAGCTAGGGTCTCCATCATCTTCAGCCTGGGGGCTCTAAAATACCCTTGGGTGTTAAGAACACAGCACAGTGAGGTCGGGAAGGCATTAGGAGGCAGGAAGCAGGTGGAAAAGGCCAGTTAGGAGGCCTTGGTCAGCAGCTGCAGGAGGGAGAGGCCAGCATAAAGGGCACAGAGGCGGGGGAGGGTGTCTGGGTCCCACGTGTACTGGGGGCCCGATCTCTGCACTTCGAGGCCACTCAGCCCCACTAGGGTTTCTGTGAGGGTCAATTCCTCTTCCCCAAGGGAGGAGAGCAGGTCAGGCTGCAGGGGGAAAACACCGTCTTTATCCTGTAGGAAACTCTGTTCCATTGTGCTCTCCACCTGCAAGGAACCAAAATAACATGAAAAGAAAGAACTGGAAACCTGCCCTCCTTTCTCCTAACTCATAAAAACCACGAAGAGGGCTACCTGTCTCTTATAACTCCTTCCATTACAGCTCCATGTGGGCCTTTTAACCACCCTGTACTGTGGGCAGCCCCCTTTTTTTTTAAGCCCTATTTCACAGAGGAGTGAATTGAGACAGACTCAGAGACATGAAGAGATTTGCTCACATCACTTGGCTGTGAAGAAGCAAAGCCCGGGTTTTCTGTCTTTTCAAGCTGAAAAACCCAGATAACTGCCCAGAAATTCGCTCTTTTACTTCCAGTTGCGAAATAGCAAACAAGGGAGAACATGGAGACAAATGAGCCGAGGGCAAGAGCCCCTGCTCTACAACAGAGGCTCTCCAGGACAGTCTGTCGTTAGGCTAAGTCTGTATCTTTGCCCTGGTTCCAGCTGACTCCCTCCCGAGCTCTCCCCAGCACCTGCTGTTTTCTCTCACCAGCTTTAGCTGCATGGGTAGGATCTTTTTCTCCACTGATTTTATCAGCAGCTTCTGTTGGGCTTCACTTAGCTCTGGAGGGGGGGAAAAAAAAAAGCAGAGAAATGAACGTGTGGTGTTGGTGCAAAGGGGGACTCCAGACTCCAAAGAGGTACACTTCCAGAATTTCAGCATTAATTAATCCATACATTTACCCAAGGTTAAATGCTGCTCTATGCTGTGCACCTTTGCTGGGGGTGTTGGGTAAAAATCATACCCCTTCACTCAGGAAACTTGCAGGCCAGCAGAGAAGACTAAGCCATGTGCAGGGACAGTACAGGGTGTTAAGGGAGCGATAGCTGAGGGGTCTACTTTGGACTTGGCATTTGAGGGCAGGCTTTTTAAGGGGACAGACATCTCAGCTTACTCCTGAAGGACCAGAGAATTTTTCTAAGTGGAGCAATGTTTCATGGAGAGGGAAGAAGAGAGTTCAGGGCAAGATGAGAAGATGTTACTCTCTGAAATTAAAGCTAACAAATTTCTATATAAAAGTGATGCGCTTAGGGACGTCTGGGTGACTCAGTCAGTTAAGTGTCTGTCTTCAGCTCAGGTCATGATCCCAGGGTCCTGGGATCAAGCCCCACATCGGGCTCCCTGCTCAGCTGGGAGCCTGCTTCTCCCTCTCCCTCTGCCCTCCCCCTGCTCCTGTTCTCTCTCACTCTGCTCTCTTTCTCTCTCAAATAAATAAATAAGATAATCTTTTTTTAAGAAGTGATGAGTTTAGCCATATGTAGAAATTTTAAATATGTGGCTGGTAAAACTAGGGTTATTTCCCAACCTCTATTAGCAAGACTAGGCCACCTTCTCAGATTATCCCAGGTGCCCAGATGAATCCTTGGGAAGGTAAACAATTTTTTAAATTTTAATTATTTTATTTTATTAAGGCAATCTCTGTTCCCAGTGTGGGGCTCGAACTCACAACCCCAAGATAAAGAGTTGCATGCTCTACCAACAGCCAGCCAGGTGATCCTATAACCAATTTCTTTAAATGTAGATATAAACTACTTTAAGTGTGGTATAATTTGCCTGGCATGCATGCATGCATGCATTCATTCATTCATTCATTCATATATCTGGGAATTCATCCAGTGATTCATTCCTGTCACCAAAAAGGTATATAAATGAAGACTTTATTCTCTACTTACCTGTTAGGGCTCCGAGGAAATACAGGATGCCACCCATAGCCTCCTTTGATACCAAGACATCTTTTGGGAGTGCCTCCAGGGTCACTTCATGTCCTTTGTCTAGAGCCCCTTCAAGCTGCAGGGAAAGGTGGGCAACTATTTAAGATAACACGGGTAAGTGGCCCAGCACAATGCCTGGCACATTACAGTCTCTTTTTTTGTTTGTTTTTTTTTAGATTTTCTTTTTTTTTTTTTTTAATTTGACAGAGAGAGACACAGCGAGAGAGGGAACACAAGCAGGGGGAGTGGGAGAGGGAGAAGCAGGCTTCCCGCGGAGCAGGGAGCCCGATATGGGGCTCGATCCCAGGACCCTGGGATCATGACCTGAGCCGAAGGCAGACACCCAACGACTGAGCCACCCAGGCACCCCCACAGTCTCTTGAGATGTGCTAACTATCTCTCTTTTCCTTGTTTCTTTTCAAGGTGTCAAGTCCTGAAAAGTACCGGACTCCTGGATTTCTTGGTCCCTGAGCCTTGAACTCTGGGAAGGAAAGGTTCCAGTCCCCTTTCCAAGAAAGGGCCCTGCTGGCCCACTGCCTACCCTCTGTCTGTCCACGGGGAGCATGTGCTTTGAGGGAATCTGCCCTGTGTGCCCTTTTCCAGAGCAGTGGCAGCCAGGCAGGCTGGGGGGCACCTGGCCAGCCTCGAGGAAGACACCCACTATCGATTCTCCTGGCCGCTGACCACCTTCTATCCTGTCAGATCCCCTGCCAGTTGCAACACCCACCCACACATCCACCAGCCACCTTCCTCTGGGGCCTCACCATGAGCTCCAGGTCCTGTAGCTCCTTTTTCTTCCCGAGAAGTTTGCTGAGGGAGGTGAGCAGGGAGCTTTGCCCTACCCGGCTTAGCTTCTTCACTTCTTGGATCTCTCTTTGAACTTCTTCTTTTAGTGTCTTGAAGTCTTCATGTTCCTCCTCTATTGAGACGGTGAACATGGTAAGCCAAGCGCCCTCCATCTGGCAGCCTTCCTATTCAGCCCCCTCCCGTCCCTGTGCTCTGCTCCCAGCCTGAGCCTGGCCCCCCTTTCTTCTTGATCAGGGAACATGATTATGAAGTTTCCACAAGCCCTGACTTGTGGGGGATGGTCTGGGGCAAGGAGGTGGAGCAGGACCCACATTATCATCTAAGCAGGCAGTTGATTCTCCCCAGGCTCCCAAGCCCCATCCCGTGACAGTAGACAATTAACTTCCCTTTCTCTAAGACTCCAGCTTAAAGTTGAGAAGGAAAGTCTATTTCCCCTTCTTAGGAGTTATTCGACAAAGAAGAATGACTTTGGTGACTGAGTGAAGGCTAGGATGGGTGGGTCTTTATCCAAGGACGTGGGTGGATCAGCGTTACCTTGAATCTTGGCCTGACCCTCTGAGGGCCTGGCATCCTAAGAATATGACCAGGGGAGTAGCTTCTGGAAGCTCCTGGAAGTGGCTCCAGTTGCCCAGACCTGGGACTCAGCACTTGTCTTTCCCTCCCTCCACCCCATTGCCTCCATGCCAAAGTCTTGGGAGAAACTCAGAAAATTCCTTACCAGCATCAGATGCCAGGATAAGGGGGGAAAGAAAAGACAAGAATCTATTCTTCCAAAATGGTAGCCATGCCCAGGGGATGAAACATTAATGGGGGTTAGGAAATATATCCTGTCTCCTGGGATATCTCAGCTATCTTAAGGCTACACTTGCTGCATTCATGGGAGGCAGGAATGGGGCAGGAGAGAAGCTAATGCAATGTGAAAAGGAGCTCCTGGATTGATTGAGTTGGCATCACTGTGACTTAGTGACTCATCCGTCCCGGATGTTGGGTAGCTGAGCAGCAGATATGTGTGGGACAGGTTACAGCTAAGGACGCCCTCGAGGACAGAGGTCTGACGCATCAGACTACCTGGGTATCCTGTCCAAAGACTTGCCCCCCGCCACCACTTTTTCCTAAGCTATTGGGATCTCTGCCATGTTTTGGGGACAGTTGTTTGCTGAGACCTGCTCTGCCATGTTCCCCGTCAGTCTTTCAGGGGAGAGAAGAAAAAGATTGGAGTTTTAAAATTCTGTGTCAAGGGGCCCCTGGGTGGCTCAGTCGGTTAAGCGTCCAACTCTTGGTTTCAGCTCAGGTCATGATCTCGGGGTCATGGGATGGAGCCCCACATAGGGCTCTGTGCTCAGCTCGGAGTCTGTTTGAGAATCTCTCTCCCTCTCCCTGCCCCTCCCGCTTGCGCTCTCTCTCTCTAAAATAAATAAATAAATCTTAAAAAAAAAAAAAAGAAATGAGAGGAAACACTTACTGGTGAACTTCTCCTCTGGCTTTTCTGAAAACAGAAGCAATGTACATATGTCAGCATAAAACCTATTTGTGCCTTTTTATCTAGAGCGGATGTTAAGGCAGCTTTATCAGTGATCATTATAAAAACATGGAGATTGTGTTAGCCCCCGCCCCCCCAATTTGGGAACACACAATATCTCTCAGTCTTATTTCTGCTTCTGACTTCTGGTCTTTTTCTGTTTCTCTGTCTCTCTAGGGCAGTATTTATGTGCTTCTGTCTGCCTTTCCAGAAGTTTAGGACAGATATTTTTATAAAGGCACTTGGGAAACAAAACGAGGGGCTCCTTGAGGGATTATGGTATATGTTATTAGAGGGTGCAGGATTTTAGCAGATGATGTCAGGGTTGGGCGAAAGATAGGGGAAGCAATTTCACTTACCTCCGGGAGTGAAGGTTTGCATGTTATCATTGTAGATATGTGGAATATCTGTAAGGTGCAAGAGAGGTGAGAGCAGGAGGACCCTTAAATAGCTGCCCACCTTCCCTTCTCTATTCTCAAGTCCATGGGCTCCGCTAAGGGCTAGGTCCCTGTCCCCAAAGGCCCCACCGAATCCCCTGCTCCACCTCTGTTGCTAATAGGATAACACTGTTTTCTGCCTTGCATCCTAGTGCTGATATCTGGGTCTGTTTCCTCCATTGGCCACAGACTTCTCTAGAGCAGAGCTGTGCTTGTTCATCTCCGTGCCCCTTTCCTCCAGCTAACGCAGTGCCCAGCACGCAGGAGGTGCTCAGAACCCAGGGGGTTCCTTCACTCCCTCTCCAGGGCAGTCCCCGCTGTTCTGTCCCCGGGCCACAATACAATACACTCCAGCACTCCTTCCCTGGCTTGCCACCAGAGGGGACCAGGATGCCTTAGTGCTAATGAGGGTAATTCTTGTCTTGAGGGGAGAACATGCCAGTGTCTGCTCACCCCATTCATCTTTGCCTTTGACCATCAGTTGTCTCACTCGAAAGGCCAGGATGCAGCCCTTGGGGATGGTTATGGCCTCCTTGTGGTTTATGGATCCCTAGGGTCAGACAATGAAGATTTATGAACCGGCCAAGATTCTGAGACAAGGGGTGAGGGAGGGGCATGTGGAGGGGCAGGCCGAGCACCTCTGGGGAGATAAGAAATTGAAAACCCTTCATTTGTGTCCCTGATTGCCTTTCCACCCAGTCTGGACTCCATGGAATGCACTTCAAAGCCCTTCTGCATCATCCCTCTAATGATGTGTATCTCTCTTCCTGGTTCAGACACATGAAGGAACTGGGCAGACCCACTCCATCACCTACCTGCCTGGGCATCTCCAACCCACCTGAGAGTTTCCACAGGGCCCAGTCCTTCTTCCTCTTCACCATCTGCGCATGCTCATCTCCTCCAGGAAGCCTTCCATGACTAACCCTACTCTCAGTTCCAACTCACCCCTTGAATATTTATACAAACTAGGTTTAGGTATGTAGAGCATTACTTATTTACATCGAATCTTCAGAGCCTGTGTTCTCGGGGCTTTAACCTGTGTGTCTCCTCCATGAGACTGCGAACTTTTTCTGAGAGCAGGGATGTCTCTCTCCTGTGCACTGGGAGCACCATGAGGGATGACCCACGACTAAGAGTTTCCCCTTCCCTGATAGCTCCCTGTGGCATCTGGCACAGGCATGTGCCCACACAGGGCACCCTTGACCAGAGAGGGGCCTGAATCTCGAAAAGCAGGAAGAAGGAGTGGGTCATTTTCAGTATTCTGGGTAGGCAACTGATCGGGCAAAGTTAATGTGTTAATGCGGCCTCTAAGGAGAGGCTAAATGTTAAGTGCGTGCGTGTGTGTGTGTGTGTGTGTGTGTGTGAGAGAGAGAGAGAGAGAGAGAGAGAGAGAGAGAACCAAACCTGTAGTCCCAAAGGGGCGAAGAACGGGAGGGAGAAGCAGCCCTCCGCCTTGCCGGCTCTCTCCAGAGTGACCTCCTGCACGGTCTCCACCACCTCCATGACCACATACAGGTTCTCCCCTCGGTCTCGCATCTCCTTCAGGAACGGGTGCTCGGCGGACAGCTTCCTGGGGCAGGAGACACGTGAAGGGATGGGTCAGAACCTCTCCCCGCCTGGGCCATCTGCTCTTCTCTTCTCCTCAGTCATTCGCAGGAGCTAGGCACAGTGGTATTAGGGAAAGGGGTGAGGACTCTGGAGTAGGAGACTGAGGCTGAAGCCCAGATGTCCCGCTAACTGGCAGGGCAGCCACTCGGAGTCCGGGGAGCCTCATCTATAAAATGAGGATAATGACACCTCCCTCCAGGGGTGCTGAGAGGAAAACTAGGAAATCATCTGGCATGGCTCCTGGCCCAGAACAGGCCCCCCTGCTTGCTCCTTCCCCCTTTTCCCTCTGCCTCGGGGTGCCTTCCCTTTTCTTTCCTCTTCCCTGTTCTTAGTCCTGTTCCTCTCTCCTGGGGCCCTTTGTTCCCATCCCTTACCCTCTCTCGCTATTAACACCAGTCCCTCTTCCCCACTTGCTGCCATCCAGAAACCCATCCTTTGATCTTGCCACTCCCTCAAATTACCATCCTGTTTCTTTCCTTTGCTTCACTGGCAAGTCTCTCAAAAGATGCGCCCATATACACCGTCTTTACTTCCTCACTGTCCACTCCTAAATTCTTCATCATTTGACTTCCATTTCCACTCCTCAACTGAAATCCCAGTGACCTCGCACCCACCACATTCACAGACCTTCCCTCACTCTGCACAACACTGAGCCTGCCTCCCAAAGCCTCCCTGCGACGTGGTCCTCTCCTGGCTTCTGGTCCCACCACGCCACCCCGCTTTGGCCTTCTGATTCCTGTCCGTTCCGTCTGCGTCTCCTGCGCTAGTTTCTTCGGTCCCTTCAAATTTCATGTTCTCTGAGATTCTGTTCGCAGTTCTCTGCTGTCTGGATTTCTAGAACATCCCTTCCCTGCAACTCCATTCCTATAGTTTTCCATCTTTATATGGCCGACCACCCCACAGGTATATTCACCTTGACTTCTCTCCTGAGCGCTGGGCCCTCGTTTCCAACTGCCTTAAAATTTTTCTTTTAAAATGAGATATAGGGGCACCTGGGTGGCTCAGTCAGTTAAGCGGCTGCCTTCGGCTCAGGTCATGATCCCAGGGTCCTGGGATCGAGCCCCGCATCGGGCTCCCTGCTCAGCGGAGAGCCTGCTTCTCCCTTTCCCTCTGCCTGCCACTCTGCCTACTTGTGCTATCTCTGCCAAATAAATAAATTAAAAAAAAATAAATAAAATGAGATATAATTGGGGCACTTGGGTGGCTCAGTCGGTTGAGCATCTGGCTCTTGGTTTCCGCTCACGTCGTGATCTCGAGGTTGTGGGATTGGGCCCCACGTGGGGCTCCAGGCTCAGTGTTGGGGGTGGGGTGTCTGCTTGGGATTCTCTTTCTCTTCCTCTCCCTTTGCCCCTCCCTTCAATAACTAACTAACTAAATAAATAAATAAAATCTTAAAAAAATAAAATGAGATAAAATTGACATATAACATCATGTTACTTTTAGGTGTACAACATATGCAAGGCAGTGTTGTTAACTGTGGTCACTCAGCTAATGTCTCACTGGACCTGCAAACTCAAAATGTCCCAAAGGAGCTCACAGTCTTTCTCTCCAAATACTTCTTCTAAAGTCTGTCTTCTTGTTTCTGTTAATGTCATCACTTGGGTCAAATCTCAGAGTGAATTTTTTAACATTCTCATATATTTAATTATTTATTTTTTAAAAAGTTGTATTTATTTAAGGTATACAACTTTTTTTAAGAGTTTTGTTTTTTTGTTTGTTTGCTTTTTAAGTAATCTCTATACCCAACGTGGGACTTGAACTCACAACCCCAAGATCAAGAGTGGCATGCTCTTCCAACTGAGCCAGCCAGGCGCCCACAACATGTTTCGATATACCTCCACATAGAGAAACGATTACTACAGTGAAGCTAATGAACCTATCTAGCTCCTCACATAGGTACCATTTTGTGTATGTGTGGTGATCTACTCTCCTAACAAATTTCCAGTGGACAGTATAGAATTATTAACTGTAGTCATCATGCTGTACATTGGATCTCCATCAGCATCATCTCTGACAAAACCTTCTCCCTCAACCTGCAATCAGCTGCCAAGTCCAGGCCATTCTGGTGCCCCAGAGTGCCCCAGCTCCTCCCTCGTTATTCTGACTGCTCTTCCCAGCTCCAGTCCTCATTTTGCATCTCTGACGGACAGTGGAACGGTGTCTTGCCTGCCTGCCTGCTTCCAACCCCTGCCTCTCATCCTCTGGCTGCCATACTTCCTCCATCTGGCCGGATGAATCACGACACACATCAAGGCATTCTTGGGGGCCCCCTGAAGCCTACGGTACAGTTCACATCCTTGACCAGGCATCTGGATCCTCCATGATATGGGCCTTAGCCTCTGCTTCTGACTTGCTCCACTCCTACCTTTTCTGCTCCTGCCAAATCAGCTCTTCGTGCTCCCTAGAGGTTTTGAGGTTTCTCACCCACGTGCCTTTGTAATGTCCATCTCCCAGACCTTCATGTTCTATTTCTACTCATCTTTCAAAGCCTGGATCATGGGCTGCCTCCTCCATGAAGTTCCACTTCATTTCCCCAGCCAGAAGTCTGTCTGGCCTGCCACAAAACTCAGGCAAAGTCCTCCTAGGCACTACCTCTCGCCTTGGATTATAGTTACTGTTGCACAGATTTTTTTTTTACAACTCCTGATTGCGAGGTTCTTGGACAAAGATGTTCCAATGCACCCCGGCTCCTAGTGGGGTGTTTTGCACTCCTTTGAGGCTGTATGAATGTTTACAGGGTGACTTTCGAAGCACCCTAGCTCTTCCTTCCTGCCTCACTTCTTTCAACCACTACTTAACTACTTAAAAGTCAGTTCCCCTGGCAAGCCCAACATCTGAGCTGCCCAGCATCGACATGGCATCTGCCACACTCCTTGTGCTGCGGGGGCAGCATTCCCGAGGGCTGCCTGGTGTATGTATGGGACCGGGCAGATGGCTTGATTTATGGGAGCAGAACACTGTGGCTAAGCTTCAGTAGGGAATAGATAAGACCCTTTCCCTTTTATAGATTCATAGTTTAGGAAGGAACCCTAGAGATTTTCATGGAACCCCATCATTGTTCAGGAAAGAAAACTGAGGTCCTAAGAGGAGAAGTGACTTTTCCAAGGTCACATGGCAAGTTAATGTGAACATACTCATTCTCGTGTGTGTGTGTGTGAGAGAGAGAGAGAGCAGGGGAGTGGCACTGGAAGTAGTGGAAGGATGGGGGGAGGGAGTAGTTAGGGGATGTCCCAGATGCACCCATGGGCCAGAATGGTCATTTTTTTTTTTTAAAGATTTTATTTATTTATTTGACAGAGAGAAAGAGCAAGCAAGCACAAGCAGGGGGAGCAGCAGAGAGAGAGGAAGAAACAGACTCTGAGCTAAGGGAGCCTCATGCAGAGCTCGATCCCAGGACCCTGGGATCATGACCTGAGCCGAAGGCAGATGCTTAACCGGCTAAGCCACCCAGGCGCCCCCAGAATGGTCAGCTTTAAGAGCTCTCCTGTGATGACCCCATAGGTAAAGGGCAGTGTGAGGGCCCTGCCTTTTAACTCAGGGCCCAAAGCACCCTTTCCAAGCACCAGCCACCCCATCCTGGCAGCCCCCCAGCCCTACCACTCTCACCTGTCCTGGTGCAAGGTCTCCAGAGCCTTAGGGACCACGCTGAGTGTCTGGACCTCCAGGGTACTGCTCCTGGACAGCCCGGCAGTCCCCGTGACCTTGACGGTCTTTGGCACATCCACCTCTCCCTCCACTCGGGCATCCAGCATATTCTTAAAGCTAAAGTTCCCAGAGTCTGTTGGATCTGCAGGACAGAGAAGACGAAAGGGGCCAGGCTGAGAGGCCTGCCTCTTCCCCTCCCTTCTGGGAGGACTTTGGGCTACGTGACACCAAGCCACATCCGAACAGAGGGAGCTTTGGGTTCCTCCTCATAAGCCAGGGCCTGGCCCTCAGCCTTCGAGAGCCAACCCCGCGCCGGACCTGACCTGAAGGCGAGCTGCCGGCATCAAGCACGTCCAGGAGGGTGTAGTCAGTGCGGACATAGCGGGCACCCCAGAAGAGTGTGCTCTTCCTCTTCCTCAGCACCAGGCAGAAAGGATGGAAGCGCTTGAAGTCTATGAGGCTGTCAAGGGGTGTCAGGTCCCCTCTAGGGTTTAGCTGTCTGGCCAGGGCCCGGGTGACGTTTTCAAAGGCGGTCATTTTCTCTGTGGGGGTGGAGGGAGACAGGAGAGTGACAAGTTGGGCGACCAGGACATGGTAAGGGCCCTGGCAGAGAGAGATCACCTGGCTCTGGGGGAGGGGGTCCCTTTAGAAATGCCTGGACTCTCGGAGTATCGGGGCTGAAAACAGCCAAAGGAGCCTCCACTTTATGATGAGGACACACAGCCCCGAGGGCTGAAGTGACTTGCCTGAAGTCACACAGCTGGTTGGAGAAGCCAGACCTTCCCTGTCAAGGGCTCTGGGCTCACCCCTCCTTCAGGTTCCTCATGGACTTGGGGCCTGGCTGGAGCATTTCGTGAGTGAGGGAAGTAAATCTCCTCTCATACAGCTCTGCCCACCTTGTCTCCCCCAGAGAACTCTGATAGCCGGGACCAGGGAGGCCGGGGAGGCAGGCAGCCCCCACTGGTGCCGAGGGCCTGAGGAGGCCGACGTGGTTCACCTGCCCCAGTGGCCCCTTCTTTGGGTGGGGGTCACTTCCCTGTACCCTGTACTTCCTTTGTGCCTGCCTCCTGGCTCCTGGCTCTGAACAGACCCACTTCCCCCCAGGTGCCACCCAATACATCCAGGCCTTTCAATCTTTGCCTTGGCTTGTAGTACGCTCCCTCCCAATCTAAAGAATCCCTATTCACCCTTTAAGACTCAATTTGGGTCACCTCTTTTGTGACTCCTTTCTCACTCCCCGTCAGGCAGTGAGTGACTCTATCCTGTGTCCCCAGAGCACTTTGTACGTGCCCTCCCGAAACACCTGTAGCCTCATGTTGTTCATGTTGTTATGATCTGTTCACCTGACGCTCGCCTCCTCGACTGTGGCCTCCCAGGGGACAGGAAATGAGTCTGAGCCACCTCTGCAGCGTTGGCACTGAGCACAGTGCCTGGTGCAGGCCCGGAGCCTGCCAAGTGTGTGTGCACAGAATGAATGAAGAGATGAATGAATGAACGTGGCCCTGCGAGACATACCCTGGAGAATGTGGGGTCTGCAAGAGCCTGAACTTCATAGCCTCAGGTCCCTGCCTTTGAGGTTCAAGTCCAGGTGCTGTGGCTGGGCGGCCAGCAGGCACAGCCATGGGTGGGGGAGGATGCACCAGCTAGCCTGGAACTGGCTCGCCGCCCCCGTGGGCACCTCGCAGAGTCAGGGAAGTGGGAGGCACGCACACAGGTGCGTGGGCCACCTCCAAGGTGCCTTTTTCACCTCTAATTCCCGAGTGGGCCAGGGTGGGACAGGACAACCTCCAGGGGCCAGTCCGATGCCTGCAGGAAGGGATCAGGTGACTTCTGTCTCTTCCTTACCAGAGACGTGCTCACAGGACATCTCGTTTCTCCCCGCAAGGCTTATGAAGATACCTACTCCCCTGGGCTCGAGGGGACTCACTCCTAGGCCCGTCTCTTCCCACCCATGTTCTTGTTCATCCCTAGAACACCCCCACCTCCCCTGCTGTCATCAAGCTCTTACCAGAGAGCAGTTCTGGGTCCTGTCTAGCAGCCGGATCTGGGATAAGGGCCCAGGACTCAGTCTGTAGGTTGAGAGAGCTACTGTCCCTCACCAGGACGGGCTACAGCTTTATGCCTCTCTGGAGGCAAGGATGTAGGCTTCCAGGGACCCCGCCTGCCCCGGTGACGCCACCCTTCTCCTGCTCTACTACCAGGAGAACAGCATCAACCTGTTCCACGCGTGCCCTGCCCCAGGCCCTGGGCCCTGGCCTCCTGAGGGCTGAGGGGGCGGGGAGCTGCCAGGCAGGTGCCAGCGTGGGTGGAGGGAGCCAGACCAGAGACAGGTGGCCACTGAAGGTTGGCTTGATGGGCAGAGAGGAGAGGAGGGAAGGCACCTTTGGGAGAGGGGCAGCTGAGAGGCAGTGGGAGGGGTGTGATTGTGTATGTGTGTGTGTGCACGTGGATGGGTGATGAGGGAAGGCATTTCTGTTCTGTCATCATCATGGTCATCAGGAAGCATCTAGGATTCATGACGAGGCCTTGTGGATGTGATAAGGGAGTAAGAAATCCTGTGTGTCCACAGATTCCAGCAGAAAGCAGAGCGGCTGAAAAGTTGTCCTCCATCTTTCTGCTGGTCTGTCTGCACATCATTCGCTCCCTCCCTTTGTTTTAGCTACAAAGACATATCAATGGCACCGCTAGCTGCCTATGTCTATGTAGGCAGAGACGGAGATAGACCAAGTGGTTTCCTGGTGTGTCGTGTTCAGCGCGTCGGCTCCTCTTGGAGTATTGTACCCACACAGACGCGCACATACAGAGGCAGAGTGAGTTAGTGGCAAGGCTAAAAGGCATGTCTGCTTTGGGAGTTGTTCTGAAGTCCGTGCCTGATAGGAATTTTCAAGGGGACTTTATGCACCTGGTCAGGTTTCTAGATGACAAATCAAGACATTTCCAAACAAGACTCCTATAGTGTTGGGATATGTGTCTATGTCTATCCTGAATACAACTGAGTCTGTCTTCATGCTCTAACTTTGAGGCTCTCCTCAGCACTCATCGAAAAGGAAATGGAGCCTTGAAAACCATGAAGAGGGGCGCCTGGAGGCTCAGTTGGTTAAGCGTCCGACTCTTGATTTCGGCTCAGGTCATGATCTCAGGGTGATGAGACTGAGCCCAGCACTGGGCTCCGAGCTGGGCATGGAGCCTGCTTAGGATTCTCCTCCCTCCCTCTCTCTCTATCCTCTCCCCACTCTGTTCTCTCTCTGTTTCTATTTTTTTTAAAGATTTTATTTATTTATTTGAGACAGAGTGAGCAAGAGAGAGCACAAGGTGGGGGAGAGGCAGAGGGAGAGGGAGAAGCAGACTCCCCGCTGAGCAGGGATCCCAATTTGGGACTTGATCCCAGAACCCTGGGATCATGGCCTGAGCTGAAGGCAGATGCTCAACTGACTGAGCCACCCAGGCACCACCCCCCTCAATTCTGGAAACGAAAACCATGAGATGAAGAGAAGCTAGGTCTTTACTGGAGGTATTCTTGAGGGGCTAGTGGTGAATGCCAAGATCAGACCATCCCACGCTCAGTAAAACTCCCTAAAAAACGAATTATACCTCTTTCTCCAAAGTGTCATTCAGTATGACAGATGCTCCCAAATCTCTCTTCTCTGTGTCATAAAACAAAATCTCTGGGGTCTCTGGTCCCTGCCCCCTATCTTTTGGCTCAGCTTCCTTCCCATCCCCTAGGCCCTTCTTGTGTGACTATCTAGTACTTCCTCCTTCAACAGCTCTAACCAAGGGCTTGGATGTGTGGGAAGGCGGTCATTAGTCATTTGGTCCCTGTCACATGGGCACATGTGTGCAGAAATAGGTGTATGTGCTATATTCATTCCATCTCTACCTATCTCTCCCTTTCTGTATCTCTTAATCCATGCTTTGATGTGATGCCCTTGTCATCCAGCACATCATCCTGGGCTGTGCAGTCTCTCATCCTTTAATCAGCTCCAGAGAAGGTGGCCCCACTCCCCACCCTCCCACTGGTCCACCATTGCCTCAGTGGGACTTTTGGGAGTTTCCTTCTGGTGTCTACCCTCTTTCCACTGGCTGCAGGCCAAAGTTTCCAGTCCAGGTCATCCTCCAAAGACCTGGAGACCGGTGATTTCTAGAAGCCACATGTGTATCTGCTCTCTTTGAGGGCCTCTAAAGTCCATGTAGCCGGCTTTCTCTCCTCTGACCCGGAAGTCTTGCTCCTTTCATTTCTCTTGCCCTCCTTCATTCACGCTGGACTCTACCAGGCCTGTCCTCATTCTCTTTATGCCACCCCACCCCACCTCTGTCCCAATACACCATCCCCCAAACTGCCTAATGGCGTTCCAAGAAGGCAGCTTTGAGGGTTTGAGGCAAAGAAGAAATAAGGGCTTGCGGGGTCAGCCATATTGAAAATTTTATGCTTTTGGAATAAAAATATCCATGTCAGCTTTGTCCCTGCACTGTTCTTCCCACCCATCCAGAATACCCCATCTCTTTGTTACTTCTCCAGTCCCCCTTCCTTGGAGTCTTAGGGAGAGGCCAGAGAATCCCTTAAGAGTCCAGAGGCTCCTCCTCAGAGTCTTGGTTTACAATCAGGGGAATCTGGGATATAATTTTTTTTAAGGTTTTATTTATTTATTTGACAGAGAAAGAGCGAGAGAGGGAACACAAGCAGGGGGAGTGGGAGAGGGAGAAGCAGGTGTCCCGCGGAGCAGGGAGCCCGATGCGGGGCTCGATCCCAGGATCCTGGGATCATGACCTGAGCCAAAGGCAGACGCTTAACGACTGAGCCACCCAGGCGCCCCTCTGGGATATAATTTAAATTGTTCTGGAAGAGGTTTAATTTAGACTAATTCGTAAGAACTCTTTAGGTCAATTAAGAGTGACTTAACTAAGAATATGAGGCTGGGTGCTGTTGTAGGCGGCAGGCTCTGCTCTCTATCTCCCTCTGGTGGTCACTGCGATAATCACCTCTAACGTGGGCACCAAGCTTGTAATTTGTGTGTAGTTGCTAGAAAATGGGCATCAGGGAAGGGAGCTAACCTAGGGAAGGAAGCCACATGTTCTCTGGGAACCTGAATGTCTCTCTGACCCATAGAGTGCACTGCAGATGCAGACGTTGGGACAGGCTGTTATTTCCTTACCCATTTTCCTTTTATGATTGTTGACTTTCTCCTTAGGAAGGGGCCAAAGAGGACAGAGAGGGAACAGGCTAGTGGAGTTCACAAGGGTGAAAGGTACTGATCCTGGCAAGAATGGCTGGCAAGAAGAAGCTGTCACAGACATACTGCCAGATCTTCTCTGAGTAAAAACCAACTAGGGAGGAAGATGGGCTGGAATGGAGGCATGACTATCTGGTGGAGAGTCAGGAAGAACAGGCCCCAGGGGGGTTGCATTTTATATTTCCTATGGGAGGTTGGAAGTCTTGGGGTGCAGATTGCAGATTGTGAGCTATACTTCTATAAATTCTCCTTTCTGAACAAAATAAAACCCCCAGAATCCTTTCTTTTCTTTTCTTTTTTTTAAGATTTATTTATTTGAGAGAGAGAGAACAAGAGAGCACGAGCAGAGGGAAGAGGCAGAGGGAAGAGGCAGAGGGAGGGGCAGAGGGAGGGGGAGAAGCAGGCTCCCCGCTGAGCAGGGAGCCCTATGAGGGACTCGATCCCAGGATCCCAAGATCGTGACCTGAGCCGAAGGCAGATGCTTAACCAACTGAGCCACCCAGGCGCCCCGCCAGAATCCTTTCTTATCCTCTAAAATACTTTGAGGTTTCTTCCCAAACTCCCAAATCAGCTTTGGGGCCCAAGACACCTCCGAACTCCTGGTTGAGTAGACAAGTCTTGTGATACTGTTCAGGGCCTTGTGACACTTGTCACAAGTTCAGGGTCTTGTGACACTTGTTCAACTTGAAGTTGTGCTGAAGAATTAGAGAAGTGTGTCATACTTCAAGGTATCAGCCCTCGCTGCCCCCAGCCCTCCACTGCCAATCCCTCTACCCACGAGGCTGGTATGGAGTCCACTGCCAGTTCCAGCCCAAATCCAGAGATGCCTCCTCTGTCAGCTGATCCTCCCCAGAATCCCAGCTCTTCCTGAGCCCCTGGAGATGCAGCTGGAAGAGGTGTTGGAGCTCCGGTCCACTTCATGGTTGATGAGACAGAAACTTTCTTCCTCAGCTATGATTGCTAGGCCCCTCCTGTTGGGACAGAGCCCCTAGATCCTTGTAAAAGGTACTGGGTCCCAGATGGAACCTTTGAAGTTTTCCCCCCAAGAGAACTTGGAGCCAAAGTGCCTCTCCATTTCACCAGCAACCCTGGGTCTATGCAAAGGCCCACTCTGCTTTCCCTAGTCCTGGTCAAGGAGAGCCAGGTGTTCTTGGCCAGCACCTGAAGGATGGAGGGGGTGGCATAGAGGGCACAGAGTGGTGACAAGGCATTGTGCTTCCTGGTATAGAGGGGTCCTACCAGGGCCTGGGTCACCTGCAGCTCTGACCTGAAAGTCCCTGTGCAGCTTAAAGTGAAGACAGAAAACCCCTACCTCACCCTAGATGAAATTCTAGTCCAGGGAGGTCTCCATCTGCACAATAGGGGATAAATATCATGGGATGATTTGCTTTGGGGAACCACCAGCTTCAGAAGTGGTCTGCAGTAAAATTTTAAATTATAGCCCCTGCTCCCACCCTTGACCCCTCTGTCCATTAGTGCCAGAGTTGAGCAGAAATGGGCACAGATTAAGAGTCTGGAGACCTGAATTCCATTGAAAGCTCTGCTAGGAGCCTGCTGTATGGCCCTGGAGAAGTACCTTCCTCTCGGGGCCAGAGACATCATCTGTGACCGAGGGGGTGGAGCTGCATGAGCTCTTGCATCCTTTCTTGTGCTCAAACTCGATTTTACCCTAGTTGTCACCCCTCACACCTGTCCTGCAACCCCCAGGCCCCTCACCAGCTCTATCTGTCAGGAAAGAACTCTTTCTGCACAGACACAGCCAGCAGAATACTAACTCTTAAATTTTTAAAAGAGATTTTATTTATTTATTTGACAGAGAGAGAGATAGCGAGCAGGAACACAAGCAGGGGGAGTGGGAGAGGGAGAAGCAGGCTTCCCGCCGAGCAGGGAGCCCGATGCGGGGCTCGATCCCAGGACCCTGGGATCATGACCTGAGCTGAAGGCAGACACGTAACGACTGAGCTACCCAGGCGCCCCTAATTCTTAATAATTTTAAGCAAGAACTCCTGTAGTTTTCATTTTGCACTGAGACCCGTAAATTATGTTGTAGGTCTGGCTTGGTACCATTGGGTCTAAGTCAGGAGACCTGCCAGTCACGTCAGGGAGGGACTCCAACCCCACTTCCCACCCTTACCACGCAGATCCCCTACAGGTAGATCATGTAACCAGCCAGTATGGGGTTGGGTTTACTAGAAGTCTCCTGCAGTCATTCAGAGGACTGAGTCCGCAGCCCTGCCTCTTGGATCCCCAGAACCTCTGGCTCACTAAGATCAGGGCCCCATCCACCTGGCAGATATGGGAAGTGATCAGCTAGGTACTCCTACAGTTGGAGAGACAGGGAAGTCCCTGAGGAGGAGGAGGGTTCTCCCCGTTAAGAGAGAAGACTCCGTCAGGGCAAGGCCTCAGTCTCTCGCTTAGCTTAAAGAAACCTCCCTGCAGTGCGCTGAGATCTCCCTGGGGAAGCAGGTCCGTCACCCCCATCCAGCCCACACGCGCCCCAGCCACCCTTAGCCCCGCCCAGGCTACCAAGCCCCGCCCCTGTCCTCTTAATCCCCGCCCCTCTCCCCCGATCATCTCCACCCGGGTCCCGCCCCTGGCGCTCACAGCCCGGCCCCACCACTCTGGCCCGCTCCGGATCTCCCTTATCACCCCGCCCCCGGCCTGAGAAAGCCCGCTCGCCCCGCCCCGGACCCGCCCCCGGAGCCTCCGCCCCGCCCCCGCCGTGTCCCCTACTCCCGCCGCACCACGCCTTAGCTGGGCGGCCGCTGTCCCCGGGTCCGGTCTTCCAGCTCCAGCCGCTTCTCCACCGCAGCCCGTAGCGCCTGAAACTCCGTGTGCTCCCGGCTCAGGCCCAGACTGAGCTCTGGGTGCAGGACAGTGGTGACCAGGACCCTACCCGGCTCCACCCGCCTCGACGTGACTTCACTGAGCGGGCCCCCCACCCCCAGGCACAGAGGCTCCCTTCTGGGCCTTGGCGTCCTGTGCCCTCCCTGAGGTACCCTTCCCCAGGGGAAGATAATCAGGGCAGGTCTGGTGTGGGGTGCCTGGGAGCTCACCTCCTTACAGTAGTTTCCAGGGGGCACTGAGGATCCTGCAGAGGGCAAAGGACACACCCCGTCACCATGAGTGGCTGCTATAGAGGCGCAGGAGAGCAGGAGAGCCCCACGAGGGGTTGGGGGAGGGCTGAAGACAAGGGAACTGGGCAGAGGGTGGAGCTGGGAAGGAAAGCCCACTGAGACCCGGAAACCTGGGTAAGCCGCTAGGCTTTTCCAAGGTAGTTTCCCAAACGCTCCGAGGTGGGGACTCCAAATGTAACCTAGCCTGCCTCACAGGATTCAAGTGAGACATTAGATGGAGACGTCCTTAGAAAGAGAAGAGGGGAATTGTAAAAGATGAAGATGCTGTTATTAGGGGAACTGGGTGAGAGGCAGGTAAGGAGGAGAGAGGTTAGGTTGCCCTGATGGTGGGCAGGGATGCAGGGGAGAGTCCAGCGCTGTGGGAGGGGATGGGAGGGGCAAGTGTGTGCGTGCATGGGGGTGGGGCAGAGGAAGCATTTTGAGGATTGCCAGCTTTGAACCCCACAGCAGTGAGGAGGGGGATGGAATGCCCTCTCCAGGCTTTCCCCCCTTCTCCAGGGTGCCTTCCTCCAGCGGCTCCACAGCCTTGGTCACCAGGACATACAGCTTCTCATGCTCCCAAAGCTTCTTCAGCTCCTGTGGTGTGTGGAGTGGGGCTGGCTCTGAGTGGGTGGGGCTCTCTTCCTATCCCGCTCCAGCTCCCTCACTTGCATCCCTGGGTCCACCCTTGTTTCTCCCTATCCCTCCCTTGTCCCTTTCCCTTGGAAGGGGTGTGTGTGTGTGTGTGTGTGTGTGTGTGTGTCCCAGAGGGACAGGGCCCCTGTAGGTTCTAGTCCTAGTTCTTCCCGGACTCCCTGTGTGACCTTGGACAACTCACTGCCCCTCTCTGGGCCCTTTTGTAAAATAAAGATCGCTGCCAGCTCTCACAGCCTGTGCTGCTCAGGTCGGGGCACGGCCCTCAGGAGCAGCCCCTCTCACCTGGCCTGGAACCCTCGACCGGCTTCCCTACCTCACTCTGCAGTGTTTTCTTGGTTCTGGAGGACAGGGGCTTGTTCCCACACATCTCTTGCAGGAACCTTCCTTGATGGTCTGACTCTGCATGATAAATTGCCCCTGACCCCAAAAGTGAAGAATTGAGGGCTGAACGCAGACCACTCAGTCAAAAGACTCGAGGAGACAGTGATGGCCCTAAGTGCAGAAGTGAGTATTGTGACTGGGTGCAGGTAAGCTAGAGTCCAGGGACCGGCAGGTGCGTGGGAGTAGTGACGGCAGTAGGACATTAAACGGGGACAGAGAGACAAGAACTGAGAAGTGCCGTGATGCAGTCACTCCCGGTACTGGAGATTCCAGAGCCATCTTCTCCACCCATCCAAACAAAGATTGGCTTGAACCTCGGCGTTTGCTTTCAGTGCCCCACTGGGCTCACATGGCCCCTGCCGCCGGCCTCTGTCACGGCGGCTGCCGTCACTAACCTGTCAGGTCCCCAAGGATGGATACCATGACTTCCTCATTTTTGTATCTGCAGTGCCTGGCACATAGTAGTAACTCAATAAATGTCGAAGGAATGAATGGGTTTGTGGTGGCATCTCTTTTGGCAGCTCGAGGCCTCGCTCTGCTTGGTTTTCTGCCTTCCTGGTTGGGGACGCAGTTCCTCATAGGCAGCGAGGTTGCTGGTGACAAAGTCTCAGCAAGATGAGGTGAAGCTGTTTGTAGTTGGAACTCCCCTTAGTCTAATGGGGGAGGTGCAGCCCCCCCCCTCGGTGTAAGCTCTCGGGTTGCTTCTGGTTTTGAGGCTGATACGGCCTCGCTCTGCAGGACAGCTCGGTTAGCACTTGAAATGTCTGCACGTGAGCCCAGGACAGGAAGGGTGGGGGCTGCACCCCACCCGATGCTCCTTAACGGCCTCCCTCAGCTCCTGGGTACCCACAGTTGGCTCCCCGTTCACTTCCTTTAGTAGATAACGAGGCTTTGTAGATGCTCAAGTCTCTGTGTCTGGGGTAGGTCTTGGTCTCCCCAGGTTCAGAGCTCCCCAAAGAGAAAAGATCCTATTTCTTCCATTAGTCTGGGTTCCCCGAGGGTTAGGTTCATGTCTCTCCCCCTCAGACTGGGAGCTCCCTCAGGGCCGCTCCAGGCTTCTGCTGCACAGAGCAGGAAGAAACTGGTGTGCGAGCGCTGAGTGGGGGACTTCCAGAGCCATCTTCTCTTCTCCCACCCCTACCTACAGCCCGCTGGTTCCAGGACGCTGCACGTGGATGCCAAGCTGGGTCCTGCCCCAGACCTCTCAGGTTCTTCTGGACCAGATATGTGGCTGGGCTCTCTTGGCTCCTGGCAGCGCTGTTCCTGGCTCCCGCTCATCCCGGTGGGAGTGTTGGTTTTGACAGAGTGCATCTGTACCAGCCAGAAGTGTGAGAAGCAGGCAGCGAAAATGAAACCGTCCAGCTGCCGGCTTGGCATCTCAGAACATGGGTCCTATGATCCTTGGTTGCCAGTAGAGAGAAGGACGGGAGAGAAACTGGTTATGCCACCCCTTCCTGCCTGCCCGCTGGACAAGTATGACCCAGAGGCCAGGGTGCAGAGGGAAGGGCTTAGGGGTTCAGCGACTTCTGCTCTAGGCAGGAGCATCTCTGAGTCTGTGGAGGCTCCACTCTGTCCAGTGTCCTGTAATGCACTGAGCTGAAGCTATAGCTTCTGATGCCCCCCCCACCAACTTCCGACTCAGGGACCCCAGCTGACTGGGGTGAAGGGGTCTCTCCCTGGCACCTCCCCAGTCCTCCATCTTCTGTCCCGCTTGTCCTCCCTCTCCTTCTGCTGCCCTAGATCCCAAGAGAGAAAGGACTTTGAGCCAGAGGGGGCCATCAGGAGAACTAGTAGATCACTTTTACTATCCAGGGCCCTAGGACCCCTCCTGACCTGGATTCCAGGCAGTTTCCCCTCCCTGGATCCTTTCCCATCCTGAGCTTACCTCAGGGAATTGGTGTTAGGTGTCTAGATGGGGGAACCGATTCTCTGCAGATCTTAAAGATGCCATTTCTGCGGCTTAGGATGACAGGAAGTCAAGCGAGGCTCCAGAGATGGGCATAGATGATAGTCTCAGGGCCCCACCTGTCCCTCAGCCTCCCACTCCTGTGGGTCTACATGGTCTGTTTTCCAGCATCCAGTGAGTTGTGTCCCAGCCTGATTTCAGGAATGGGTAGGTGAGCAGAGAGGGACAGACAGTGGCAGGGGAGAAACTGATGGAGGGTTTGATAGGATTGGGGCCAAGATTCCAAGGCCCAGGCCGGGGTGTGGCTGGGGTGGAGGTCGAACTGCAGCCCGAAAATTCCCACATCCTCGTTCTTTCCCCACCCCTGAGCATCCCTGAAAGTGGGAGGCCCATGTCTCCTGAAAAAGAGGATGGGGTGGGGGTCCCAGGTTTTTCGGAGATGAGTTAAGTTGAAGCTTCCTGGATGATATGAGGGAGCTCAGCCTTGGAGTGGTGGAGGGAGCCTCAGAGATGGCAAGAGGAAGGGTGGTGGTGGTGGAAAGGAGACAGGGAAGTCAGGGTGGGGCAGAGGGTCTGGGGAGGTGACGGGTTCCTCTTTGCTTCTCCTTGAATGGCTGCCCCATCTACCCCAGGCTCTGCCCCAAACTGGGTGGAGCACTGGTTCAGTGGTTTTATCTTCAGCTTCTACTGGGGTTCCCATGAGCTTCCCCAAAGCAGCTGTTTCCTCCACGGAGGCCGCATGGCTGGATCACCCTACATGGAGGCAAGGGATGGGGTGTGTTGACCCCTTTGGTCCCTTGAGAAGCCAATTTGGTGATAGGGATATCTCATAGGGCCCCCCTCCTTTGGCCGACTTGGTCTCTGCCACCCGGGAATTCCTTCATTAACTTTGAGCACATCTAATTTCTCTGTACCCCCTGCTCAGACTCCCACTGGGAGAAAAGACAGATTGCCAAGAGGGGAGCAGCTCCCTCTCCCTTTGCTTCCTCTGCCCCATCCACAGGCTGGAGGCTGCCAGCTGATGACTGATGCCTGGACGTTGTCCTCCTTCCCTCCTCCCTCTTTGTCCTCCCTCCAGCCTCCTCCCATCCTCCATTCTGGTTCCATCATCATTAATTCACAGGCCCTGGCATCCCTAGCAGATAGACTCCAGTGTTAGGAGCTGGGAGGTGGGAGGGGAGAGAGGAGTTGGCATCCAGCCCAGTGGGAGCACCCACCACCGAAGCGGTGGCAGAGGCTGTGGTAAAGAGCTCAACACCCTCCCACTCCTCATTGTCAGGCCACAGGTGTTCAATGAGGTGAACAATAAGGAAGAGGTCAGGGGCATTAATAAAAGTGACTTTATTGAGTTGTCCAGTGATATTCTGGGGGTGGGAGATCTCCTAGTCCCCATCCCCCTCCAGCTCCCAGTGACCCATCTTCAGCTCCAACATAGAGGAGACCACTCTTCTCCCAAGGGAAAGGGTTCAGAAAGCCCGTCAGTGTATAAAGGAGGGAGCAGAGAGATGGGGCATCTCTGGAAAAGGAAGCAGGGCACTCTAAGCCAGGGGGGTCCCCAACAGAGGGCAGAGGGAGAGGAGCCTGGGGCCAAGAGAGAGAGGCAGGAAGTGAGGGTGGAGCTTCTCAGCAGAGGTGGAGAGAGGAGAGCAGGAGACCACAGGGCCCAGCCTCCCCTCCTCTCTCTCTGCACCCTCTACTTCAGTCCCCAGGAATGTCTCGTTGCTGCCCATAATTTCTGAGTTGTTTGCATCCTCTTTGCCTTTGTCCACCACTTTGTAGCTGGGGTCCTCCCTCTTCTGCCCAAAGCCCTTCTCGTTCTTGAAGAGTCAGCTCAAACATCCACACAGTGAAGCCTGGAGATCACTCAGCCGGGTAGAGGCTTCTTCCCCTGTGTTCCCACGGCCGCCTGCCCCTACCTCTGAGTGGGCACTCATACCATCTACTGTCATTCTCTGTTCTGTTGCCCCCCACCGTGGGGACTTGGGAACTTTGGGTCTCCGAGATAGAGTAGGCACCAAACACTCCAGGCCCCACAGAGGGTGTTGGTTGAGAGAGAGATTGGGGTTTTAGGGGAGATGGGAGAGGAAGGGGGGTAGAATTGGGATGGGATGGGGTTGCAGAGGAGGCAGAGAGGGTCAGGGGAAAGGAGAGGGCAGAGGGGGAGGAATGTAGGCCAGGTCATCAGAGGGGGCTGGAGGGGTGGCCCCGGTCCTCAGACCACTGTGCTGAGGGTGGAGGAGTCCTCGGAGCGCCCGGGCAGCACCGGGGCCCGCTTGAGGGGACATCGGGGCTCCTCCCGGTTCTGCCACACGTAGTGGGCCAGATAAGCCCCCACGAGCACCAGCCAGCCCCCCATGGTGACCAGCAGGGCCACATCAGTGCTCCGCGGGGCCCCGGCCCGCCCCGCCCCGCACAGCTCCTCCTCGCCCGCCAGAGGCAGGAACTCCTGCCCCACGAGGTCGGGGCGGGCTCCGGGGCCGCACACGATGCCTGTTCCAGGGCCCGGTGTCAGCCTCACCTGCCTGAGCACCTCTCGCAGGGCACAGTCACAGCGCCATGGGTTGGCGGACAGATTCACTTGGACCTGCAGGCCCACGAAGGCCTCTACGGGCACCGAGGCCAGCCGGTTGGCAGAGAGGTCGAGGTGGCGCAGCGTGCCCTCCAGGCCCCGGAACGCAGCCCCTGAGAGGTGGGCGAGGACGTTATGGGACAGATCCAGCTCCTCCAGGACAGGAAGGTGCTGGAAGGCTCCTGCCGGCACCGAGGCCAGCCGGTTGGCGTCCAGGTAGAGCTTGCGTGTGTCGTTGGGGATGCCGGTGGGCAGCTCGCTCAGGCCCGCCTGGCTGCAACGGAATGTCCGCTCACCAGCTTCTTCGGCCACGTAGCAGCCCTGAGGAGGGACCCAGGGCCTGGGCTCCGTGCCACATGTGCCTATCACCAGCAGGAGAGACAGCAGGGGACCGGCTGGTGGGAGCATGGCTGAAGATTGGCATAGTCCTGGAGTGAAGTAGGAGCTGGGGAAGAAAAGCCCCATAAAGGAAGAATGAGTCGAGAGAATTCCATTCCACACATTCCCCACCACCAGCTCTCTCTTCTGGAGGTTTCCCCCATAGGGGCTCTGAGGGCGGGCGCCTTCCTTTGGGGGTTCACTCAGGTCTGATTGACTTTTGCTTCTTCTTTGGGGTTTAAGGCTCCCTTTTCAGGCCCTTTGGGTAAGAGGTCCCCTGGGCCTGAGATTCTTCTAGCATCTCTTTGTTTCTGGAGGGTTAATCTATGAAGTCTCTTGGTCCAAGACCCTGTTGGTCACTTTGGGTCTGGGGGCTTCCAAGTCTCTGCTTCCACGCATGTATTAGTTTCTCCTATTGGAATAAAGTCTTTCTCTGCCAGGCTACCTGGATGGCTGCCAGGTGGGCCCCGAAGGCACCAGAGGGCCAGGTTGGCACTCATATAAGAGACAAGGAAGACAGGTCAGCGATCGGACTTCAGGGCATTCAGCTAGGCTAGGTGACTAAGGCCTGCTTTCTATGGCCATCTCCCCCCTTTCCTGGACCACCCACCCCTCTGCCTGCCCCAACTTTGTCCTCTCCACCCCGCTCTTCCTCCCCCCTCCCCTCTCTCCTCCTCTCAACCTCTCACCCCTGTTGGTGGGAGAGCCTTCTCCTGTGTGTCCTCTCCCCGGAAGTAGTCTGTCTTCCTGCTGCCCGACTCTGGAGACCCGCTTCCTCCTCCAGAAACCCTGTTTGCCTGTAGCTGATGGAAATTGGGGGCTGGGGCCCAAGAGTGTTGGGTTTCCTGGCATGTGACTCTGAGCCCCAGGTGTCAGATACCTGAGCCATGGCCTGGCCAGGAGATGCCAAGACAGGGCAGATCCTGGACCCTGATGAACTGTGCCATGGGGAGACCAGGCCCCAATGCCTTTCTCTGTCTTAGGCTCCCCTCCTAAGGTCTTGAACATCGCCATCTTCTGTCCCTCTTCTCTGAGCCAGAGCTAAGACTCTGCCTTCCAAAACCTCTGCCGCTTGCCAAGAGCCTGGCCCAGCAGAAGGATCCCGGCTCGGCAGGCCTGGGGTGGGGGTTGGGGGGCAGAATTTGGGTGGGCCCCATCTCACATCCACTGCCTCCAGCAGCCGTCTCCCCCAATTCTGTCCCTCCCCCACTCTCCTTCTCTGTCCTTCTACCGTGCCTTGGGCCACCTTCTTCCGGGGTAAATGAACTTCCCTCAGCCTTTTCCTTGCAAAACTTGGATCTCATCTCCTGACTCCTCCCAACGCTCTGGTGCCCAACGCTCTTGCCTGGTAGAGGACACTGTGGCTCAGTTTTCGTTTGTCCTCTGCACCATGGGTGGATGGCCCCTCCAGGAGTTGGAAGTCTGGAGCCCCTCCAGGAAGTTGGAAGCCCCTCCAGGAAGTTGGAAGGTGTCTGAAGTCTGATACGGTCCTCTATAAGTTTTCCTGCTGATTTTCTGTTTTGGGTTGGAGCTGACTCCGGTTGTCTCTGTTTGCTGGAGCCCTGGACTCCCAAGTTGGTCCTTTTAAGTCTCCCTCATGTCTGGGAGCCAGGGAGGGCTCGTTCCCCAGGGCCTCTTGATCTCAACCGTCATTTGCACCCCACGCAACCCTATCACAGCACCCTCTCCTAATGCAGTGAAAGAGAACTGGGGAGTGGAGTGTCACAGGACACCTCCTTTCTTGCACAAAGGAGGCTGACGTCATATGCTGTGGAGACCCTACTAAGAAGGAAAAAACGTCGTTGGATTTTGTAAGAGACTATGAGCGACCAGAAGCTGATACATAATTTCAGGGCCCAGTGCCAAATGAAAATGTAGGGCCCCTTGTTCAAAAACTGTTAAGAATTTCGAGATGGCAACAGCGGATTATAAAACCAAGTGCAGAACCCTCCTGAGTGTGGGGCCCGGGGCTCTGTGGGACGGTACAGGCCGCGTGCCCGTGAAGCTGGCCCTGGAGGTGACCTTTGATCAAGCAGTTTCAGAAGTGTGATGAGGGCCAGAGTCTGATATCGGATGATATCATCTCCGGAGACACTCACCAGTGACTCATGCTTGTGACGGCAACAGGGGCACTTCTCAGACTCACATTTGTCCAAGAAATCAGATAAGACGCATTTTCTACACTTGGGCAGGAAAAGCGAAAATTTTGTCTGTGGGTTGCTTGTTAAGTTGCTTGTTAGGCATTCTGCCACTGAAAACTTGCGTGTCCATTTTGGGATTGTGGCTGAATGTGGAAGAGCAAACATTTGGAATCCTACCCCTCACGCTGTTCTTCTCTCACCCTGGGCAGGAGTTTAGCTAACTAAGGCGCCCGAAGTGAGCCTGGCTGTTGATGGAAGGATGTCCTTCTCAGACGAGGGCAGCTACCGAGAGAGAGAGAGAGCAGGACTGGGGTGCCCAGCACAACAGGGGCAGGAGAAGCAGGCAATGTGTAGACAGGAGGGTCCACCTGGAGCGCACATGTGGTTAACTGAGGGTGGCTAAGGGCCGTGCTGAGCAGAGAAGGAACGCAGAGGAAGGGGGAACCACAAGGGATGGTGCGCAGTGCAGGCTGGGGGTCGACAAGGTTGGGGCAGAAATTCTCTGCCATTCCTTCCTCTGCTCAGCGAGGATGTGCTGTGTGCTTCGTGTCCCAAGAACTGTGCTCGCTGAAGGGGACACAGACCCTGTTCTTCACCCAGATCGATTAAATTCAACTCTCGGTGTCTGGGTCTAGGTGCTGGTATTTTTCACAAGCTCTGCAGGCATGTCTCATGTGCAGCCCGAGCTGAGAGCTGAGAACTGCCCGTCTAGAAGGAAGACATGGACATGTTGATCTATGTCTCCCCGGGCGTTCACGTGATGTCTGACGTGAGTACGAGGAGCTTTCAGACCCAGAGAGAGAATAAGTAACGGTGGCAGAATCTGCCGGCTGTCAACGCCGTGTTGCCGGGGAGGTGACATTTTCCCTCTTCCCTCTTTAGGGCTTTTCAGCGGGGCCTGCGGACTGAACTCACAACACAGATCAACGGGAGAAAAGCACACACATTTATGTAAGCTTTACGCCACCCAGGAGCCTTGTAAGGAAATGAAGACCTAAAAAAGTGGCAAGTTGCGAATACTTTTATGCTAGGTTGAATAAAGAGAGACAATATATGGAGAGGCTAGAGAAAGAGAAAGATTATTTTTAACAAGGTCTGTTTGTACAGAAGTCTCTCAGATTTGACTCCCCATCGAATGGTATCAGGAGGGCATCTTTCACATGGGAGTTTTGTCTCCTGCTTTCAGAGGAAAAAAAGGGGGGAGACTAGAATACCCTTCTTGCATCTGTTTTTTTTTTTTTTTTAATGTGAATTGAGCTCAAAATAATCGTAATGTCAAAGTGGCATATTTTGGGGTGGCGTATTCTGCCCCCCTTCAATATCTCTTTCTTATCTCCTTCCTTTATACCACCCGCCGATTTGGGAGGAACAATGTACTCGATCCCTCCTGATAGAGCCTGATTGGTCCCCTCAGTCTATCAGACATTTTCCCAGCCTCCTTTGTGGCTGGGGGGCTGGGCCAGTTCAATGACATCTAAGGGGAAGTCTGCTGAAGGGCCTTCTGGGACAGTCTTTGATTTGTTTATAAACGAGGATGGCCCCATCCTTCTCCCTACCGCTTTCTCCCTGCTTTGAACATGGAGGGTCAACCATAGCTATCCTGTGACCATGAGGCAACAAAGCAGGAAGGAAAGGTCAAGAGTATCACTGAGAAATTGGCCTGAATATCACTGAGTCACTCAACCAACACTAGCAACCGCCTGCTTCTTTCATTATGTGAGAAAAATAAACCCCTGCTTCAGTGATTTTCAACTTGGCTTCACGTTAGAATAGGGGAGGTTTTGAAAACTACTATGCCCGCGCCCACCACAGAAATTCTTTTTTTTTTTTTTAAAGATTTTATTTATTTATTTGACAGAGAGAGCGAAAGAGGGAACACAAGCAGGGGGAGTGGGAGAGGGAGAAGCAGGCTTCCCGCGGAGCAGGGAGCCCGATGCGGGGCTCGATCCCAGGACTCTGGGACCATGACCTGAGCCGAAGGCAGACGCCCAATGACCGAGCCACCCAGGCGCCCCCCACCACAGAGATTCTGATTAACCTTGGTCTGGCATGTGTTCAGTGGATGAGGACTTTTAAAAGCTCCTTGGGTTTTCTGTTGCTTTCAGCTGGAAGCATTCTTACCTGATACACTCACTTCTCCAGGATATCAGGGAAGGCTTTACCAAGGAGCAACATCTGTGCTGGGTCTTCAAGGCTGAGTGCATCAGGTGGAGAAGCAGGATATGAGCAAGAGCAGGGGAGCACAAGAAGGTTTGGCTTCCCCTAGACTGTGGAATGGAGGGGTGGTGGCAAAGGCTATGGTTGAAGTGGAAAGGGACGAGATCCTTGTGGTCTTTCATACCATGTAAGAATTGGGATTTGATTTAGTGGCTGGTGGATGCAGGGTTTTAAGATTAGCTTTGATGTTTCGATCACTTTCTGGTCGTGTGGAGGATGTATTGGTGGAAGAAAGACCAGTTACTGGGACAGTCCAGGTGGGACGTGGTAAAGGCCTGAGTGGAAGCTATGGTGCAGGACTGAAGGAACTAGGACTGGGGTGTTCCATTCTTTGCCGTGGCTTATGGTGTACATGGGAAAACCCTTGGGCTGGGCCCAAGACCACTTTTGCCATTGGCTGCATCCCTCTCCAATCCCCTTGGACCTTTGGTTCTCTGGACCTCATGTTCTCTGAGATCCCTTCCAGCCTGATGTTCAGTGTGTCTATTATGGTGGGGCAGGGAAGAAGTTGAGGTATGGCAGGGCCTGGCTCCCAAGTGCAGGGCCCAGGAGAGACACCCACTCTGGTTGAGCTGAGTCCTTGCTCCTCCCTTCAAGGGCAGTAACTCCATGCCTCTAAGATGTGACCTTGGAGGAGAGAAAGTAGGCCTTCAGGTCCCTACCTCCCTGAAGTGGAAGGCTCCCACATCCAGCCTGGATAGAGAGGGATAATTAAAAGGAAAGGAGGAGGGCTAGCTACTTTACCCATTGTGTCAGCCAGGGACTCATCTAATGCCAGTTTACTGAGCAGTTTAGGCAGGAGGGGCAGGAAAGACCTTTGCTGGAAAGTTCCTCGTGGGAAATGACAAAGGGGGCGTATATCCATCCATCTTTTGTTTGTTCAACTCATACCTCCTGGGCCTCTTAGACATCGGGGATGCAGAGAGAGGTAAAATGTCCCCCAGACAATAGATGAAGCCAGATTTGTGCACCTGATAACTATGGGGTGGGCTCTAGCTGGGGTGTTTGCAGAGGTCAGAGGAACGCGGAGGTCTGAGTAGTAGACTCTGCCTGGGCAGTTGGAGAAGGCTTCACAGAGAAGGTGACACGTCAGGGATAGCCTTGAGGGATGAATAGGAGTCTACCAAATGGAAAAGGCTAGGAGGAAAAAGCACTGCAGACTAAGGTAAGAGCCAGAAGGAACAAGGTGTGTTCTGAGAATGGTTAGGAGCTCAGAGAGGGTGTATCTGGGATGTGCGGGTCAGTTCTATCCTTCTGCTAACATTCATTGAGAACCCACTGTGTGGAGGAAATGCATATGAGTAAGACACAGAGCCAGCAGCCTAGCAGGGGAAGCGGGTGTTTGGCAGATAACTGAAATAAAGTGCCCTCAGTGCAGATAGAAGTCTTCACAAGGCACCTATGGGAACATGAGGCACACAGTGGACGGGAGGTGTGTGGCCGGGAA